AATTAAGTGCATTATTAGCATTACTATAAAAAATCGGGTTTAACTCTCCTCGACAATCGAGGGCAAGAAAAAAGAAGATTGGGTAAATACTTTATTTTTCATATTTATTCTTTATTCATTATTAGAAAAGTAACTAAAACCTGAAAATATGGATCTTTTTAAGTTATTTAAGACTAACTTAGGTAAAAATAAGTAAATAATAATAATATAGTTAAAAGGATTCACGAAGTGCACATGTGAGCTGCACATTCCCCAAGTGATTTACAACTTATAATGGCACAGATAGTAGTTACACTTGGTTCAAAGGGCAATAAAACAATAAAATTGAAATATAAATAGATGTATACTGTTACGAACTTAGGGTGAGAGTTAAGTGACACTAGAGAAATAGTCGATTACTGAAACCTCATTTAACTTTCTCACTATGGAGTCAGTCAATTTGACTGAGTAGCGTGACCTTTCGTACTCGTTTAAAGTCTTTATATATTTAATACTTATAACTCTCAATATATTGGGTATATCTTCACAAAATTTGGCAGTCTTTCAGTTAATATTTCTTCGTGAAGTATTTTCAATAGAATAAAATAAAGATTTGTCCATGAATATATTGAGTATTTGTTCTGAATAGTCCGTGTGCAAAGTAATTTTCATGTTAAAACTAAAAATACTTTTCCTCATCTCAAAAATCTCAAATTTCCTTTGTGTAATCCCTAAAACCTCCTAAATGCATTCGAAATGTTTATTTTCAGTAAAACTTTATAGTTTATCTGTTATTTTCTCTACCCTATCTCAAAACAGGATCGGTCAATTAGACCAACCTCGTAATCACCAAAAAATCGAAATACACCTAAATTAATCTTGTTTTCTTTCTAGAATGACTTCAAATTGTAACGTAAATCTACATTCGTTTATCCTAAGTAGCTATGGGCTTGGACCCAGAGACTGATCTCGTAACCTTTTTGTGCTTGTTATATTTTCAAACTAAAACTTTTATTACAGGAAGCATATCTTCACAAAATTTTGCAGATTATCAACAAGCATTACAAGGCTTTAGTACATAAAATTGCAGAATTTTTATTTAAGTTTTTAAATTTTTTAAATAATGATTTGCTCATGCATTTTTTTGATTTCAAATGTTGACTTTCCAACATGCAAAGTAATTTTGATTTTAAGATTGAAAATACTTTTATGCATCAGTAAGTTGTCAAATTTCACACGTGAAATCTTTATAACCTCCAGATAATTATCAAATGTTCTTTTAGAGATAACATAATATTTTATCTGTTATTTTCACTATTGTATCTCTGTACGGGTTTCATCGATTTGATTGACCTTGTAGCTAACATATAAAATCAGGAAATAGATATAAATTATGTTTTTTCGTTCAAGAATGACTACAAATTATAATAAGAAACCACAAATGTTTAGTCTAAATAGTTTAAATCTAATGTTTTACATATA